ACACCATGCCTCAGGTCACTTGCCCGCAAAGCCCCCCCGCAGAGGGGCACCCCTGCCCTCACCCCCTGGCCCTGCTCCCAGCTGCAAAGTGCTGCCTGGGGCCGGCAGCACCCCCTTCTCTCAGCCCCCAACCATCTTCCCAGTCCTGCCTCACAGCCCCACTTACCTCCATGCTCCAGGGGCGAAGGGCGAGTCCGAGTCAGAGCCGCAGCCTGGCCTTGGCTGCTTCAGAGGCTCAGGCCCTGCCCTCCCCCCTCTCCTTCCCCTACAGCCAGGGCTGGGGGTTTCCCACCCTTTTTGCAAATCAGCTCTTGCAGGCTGGAGCTGTGCCACCCTGCAAGAGCTCTTTGCAAAATCAGATTTCTCTGCTAAAAAGAGAAATCTGCGTTTTCTCTGATAAAAACAGGGAATCTGTGGTTTTCTCTGTTTTTCCATGGGAAACAGAAAACCTGGATCCCTGCTCATCACCTGCAAGGGAAGGAGAGTCTGCCAGGAGAAGGGGTTGATTAGAGATGTATCCCATTTGGGAGCAGAGCTGGCTTTCCACACCCCCTAGTTCTTTTGCTGAGCCTTGGAAACTCTGGTGCTTTTAAGTCAGAGACCAAATTCAGTTCTATTTCCAATCATTGATGTTTCTGCAGCTTCCTTGTTACACAACCTTTGCTCTAGGATCTGAAGGAAGGTGCTCATGAGTTGTATATATGCTTGTTTCTAATATAACCCACTGGGTCCTAGTTTTAATTATAAACAAAAAGCTGCAAAAGGCTTTTTTTACCCGCTTGTTGATGCCCAGCAAGGAGGGAACAGACTCCAGTTCTGATCTTATGCATGTGGTTATTTTTACTTGCGTGAGCAGCCTCACGTGAGTCAGTGGAGCAACTCGTGTGACTTGCCGAGGTCTTTGCAAGGAGCTCTGTGCTTTGTTTGCTGGGGAATCTCCTGCAGGGTCAGTGACTTCAGGGCCGAGCAGTGGAAGGGTGCAAAAACTCCCACCAAAGAAAACAGACTGGTGGCAAAACCAGAGGAGTTGGGGGAAGCTGTTGATACCTTTCAGTTGTAGGCCACAGTCCTACCACCAGCCAGGGGCTCACGGGACTTCACCCACCCCGGCTCTGAAGGCAGGATCAGGAGCCTTGTGACTCTGGGGAGAGACTGTGCCAGTAGCAACCGGAACAGGATTAGCAAACGGGAGTAATTCACGTCTTTCAGGTGCTCCGGGGTCGCGCGTGCAGGCCTGGTGGAAGCGAGATCCGGGCACGGCCGAGCGGGCAGCGAAGGGGCAGAGGCAGCGTTTCACGGGGCTGGGATTTCTAGCGGCTCCCCTCTGCAGCCGCCACGCGGGGGAGCCGGTCGCGGCCCCGGAGCGGGCTGGGCGGAGGCGGAGGCGCAGGCGCAGGCGCAGGAAGTAGGAGGCGCCGCCCGGGGCCGCTGGGCTGGCGGGTGTTTGTCCAGAGCTGAGCCTGGCGTGAAGCGGCCCTGGCTGCGGTGCGCGCCCAGCCCTGCGGAGCCAGGTGAGCGGGGGCTGGCGCTTTCCCCGCAGGCAGCCCGGGGTTTCCGTGAGGTTGCAGCGGCCCGACTGCTGCAGGGGGCAGGGGCTTGCGCTCTCGGCTTTTTTTTTGTCAGACTTGGCCCAGATGTGATGATATAAAGACGAGGATCGTGGGACTGTGCAGAGCCTGGCTGCGGTGCGCGCCCAGCCCTGCGGAGCCAGGTGAGCGGGGGCTGGCGCTTTCCCCGCAGGCAGCCCGGGGTTTCCGTGAGGTTGCAGCGGCCCGACTGCTGCAGGGGGCAGGGGCTTGCGCTCTCGGCTTTTTTTTTGTCAGACTTGGCCCAGATGTGATGATATAAAGACGAGGATCGTGGGACTGTGCAGAGCCCTTTCCCCACTTCAGAGCTGGGGGCGAGTGCTGACTTCTCGGGACCCCGGTGCAGGGAAGCCCCAATCCCTGATTAGCACCTGTAGATGCTTGTGCAAAGTACACCACAAATAAGTTCATGTGCGACCAGCTGCAGGGGCCAGGAGAGCTAACTAAGCAAGCCTGTAACTAGGCTCTTGGGCCAGGCTCTGAGAGGGACTCTTCAATTTGGGGCAGAGTGGCCTGGCAGGCATCTACCGCGGTCGGAGCTCCTGGTGCGGGCCACGTCTTTGTTTCTCAAGGTGGGACAAGGCAAGGCCAGTGGCACCTCTGCGTTGCAGGATGCAAACCCCTCCTCTTCTCTTCTGTGCAGGGTGCGTGTCTGCATGGTGTTCAGCCTCCCGTCTCCTGTGCCCTACCCCCCTGGACACGTGGCAGGGCCATGGTGATGCTGCAGGCAGGACTCTGTCCTGGTCTGACGGCAGAGATGATCCAGCTTCTGAAAGCCAGTGGCATCCGAACAGGTAAAAGGCAGCCCAGAGTCTCAGAGCAGGACTCACCCCCCCGGGGGGATGAATCAGGGATGGCAGAGGGCTCTCCCCCTTCCTAGGACCCCTGAGCCTGTTCTGATGGTCTGTGCTGTGGGGCAGCCCCTAGGAAACTACTCCAGGTCCCAGCATGTTCTGTGCGCCTTGGTGGCTGGCTCGGAGTCTAACATTGCTTTCAAGGGACAGGACAGTGGATGTGGTTCATGCCTCACGCAGCAGTAGCGGGGACTATGAAAATCCCCATGCTGTAAAGGCAGCCAGATCTGCCTATCTAATTCCTGACCTTGAACATGTTACTTTAGTACAGGGCTGGGCAATTATTTTGGGAGGAGGGCCGCTTACTGAGTTTTGGCAAGCCATCGAGGGCCACAAGACAGGCCGTCAGGGGCAAATAAATATTAATTTTCTAATTTTTTTTAGGGGCACCATGGGCCGGATAGAATGGCCTTGTGGGGGGCCACTGGGCCACGGGTCACCTTTTGCCCACCCCTGCTTTAGTATTTGGAGGCTTGGCATATCTTGCATATTTGCAGTTATACTTTCTGCTAGGCCATTCCCTCTTGGTGCAGCACCCTCATCCCTGCTGCCATCTGGGAACGGGTAAGGCAGTTGTCCCCAGGGAACATGATGACACCCGGTTCCACTTCTGATCTCAGCAGGGGTTGGTGGCTCTGAGAAGTGACTGAGGGCCTTGTTACTTGTCAGTTGTAGGTAGCTCCTGGAGCTCTTAACCCCAGCATTGTCCACACGTTAACATGTGAAACTAGTTTTAAGCACCCTTTAAGCAGCACAGCTTAAAAATGCACCACCTCAGCTTAGATTGAGCTCTGATCCATTTTACCCAGGTCACATTACGCTTATGTGTAGCCACTCTAGGCTACAGCTTATTGTGAACACTCCCCCACCCCCGGTGGCCTGGATTGGATCCACTGCCCCCCCTGGCCCCTCACCCCAGTTGAATCAGCACCCCTGTCCTCTACCAGCCATGATTGGCCTGCTGCCCCCTGGAATGGGTCCACTGCTCTCCAGCAAGCCAAATCCCCATTCATCCCCCCGGCTGCCTCACAGCTTACTTTTGGCTGCTAGTGCTGCGCCAAGGGAGCAGGCAGTGACCCCCGCTGCCAGCCCCTGCCACTGCTATCACTGTTTTCTGGACTTGGCTTAACCCAGAGAGGAGCTGCTGTGCATTGGCAGCAGTGGAGGTGGGGACCAGGCGGGGGTGTTCCCTTTCCCTGCCTATCCCCTGGGGACAGCACTCGCAGCTGAAAGTAAGCTGGGAGGGACGGGGGGGATCCCTGTGATTCTTACTTTTCGGTCATCAAGGCCTCTGCTGGCTTGAACATACAACTGCTTCAAACTTGAGCTAGCTGTAAGACTGATTGGCATTTGAGCAGCTCAAACTGCAATGTGTAACGAGGCCTTAAGACAGGGGTGGGCAAAGATGGCCTGTGGTGGACTCAGCCCCTGAGTTCCCAGCAGCCTCTGCCCACGTCAGTGTGGCTGCCTTTCATGCAGACCCCAGAAGTGGTGGGACTGTGGCAGTGTGGGACCAGCGTTTCCATGGAGGCCAGCACCAGCAGCGCTGGCATGGCAAGCGGCTGGGCGGGGAGCTGCTTCGGGGCTGGGATTTTATGGTAGTGACAGCGTGGTCCAGAGCTGGGGCAGAGCTGTGATCCATTGCCCACATACCTTGGAGCAGCTCCCCATCCAGCTGCATGCCCTGCCAGTGCTGTTGGGGCCGGTCTCCATGGAAGCCCTGTCCTGTGCTACTGGGATCTCCGTGGAAACTGGCCACAGCAACGCAGGATGGGACTGCTGGGAAGTGGTGTTCGACTGCCAGCCAGATCCGCCATTTTGCCCACCCCTACCCTAAGAAATGCATGAATTCACAAACTGAATGTGGTGGGGGGGGTTACATTTGTTCCTAAACTAATCCCATCACTGTGGTCAAGGGTGCTGGAGAGAGGCTGGGGTTTTTCTTCTTCCCAGTCTAATTTGGGCCCCCGCCTGGTTTTGCTAGAATGGCAATTAGAACCATTTTTCTTAAAAATGGACTTTTAGAGCTACTGTTCATGGGACCCAGTAAATGTGCTTGAAGATTGAAACTTTCACTCACTTTCACTCATTAGTCTGCTTTCTGTGTATCCATTTTGGTTGAAAAAAACAGAGGTATTAGGCACATGGAAACAGAGGCTGAGCAAGCAGCCTTCATCAGCTTGTCTTGCTCTAGTTCTTCGGCCAACAAAGCACCTTGATGATGTCCTTTAATTCTTCCTGCTTTTCCAGCCATGGGCTTTTGGCCATTATGAAGCTGTTTGGGCAACTGGTGATAAACTGGAATCTTCTAAATTAAATTCACTGTAAACCTTGTGTCCCATTACAAACCCAGCAGAGACAGGGGAGTCCTTTGGGCTGAGTTGCTCAGCTAACTTGGGTGTTATTGTCTCTCTGCAGGCATTGCCATGGCCAGACTGTATTTTAGCTTGATTTGGAGCTATTCTAAGGTTGGGAGATGACTAGGCTGAATGGTGGGACTGTGTGGTAGTTAATTACTTTCCTGGCATTGTGGAGCTGTCAGACTTTTCCAGCTGCTCATCTGTTCATTCTGTCTTGCAGTGGTTGACCTCATCTCATCGGATCTGGAGGAAGTTGCCCAGAAATGTTCTCTGTCTTACAAGGTGAGAGGAGACTCTTGAATGCTGATGTTTACCCTGGACCACAACTCTGCTGTATTAGGGGCTGGACAAAGAGATGGTACTGCCTCAAGGAGCTTCTATTTCCAAAGCTCCTCAACCTTGTAGTACCTCAGTCTCATGTGTGGCTGGCTGGCTGTCCCCACAGGCTTTGGTGGCAGTGAGACGTGTTTTGCTGGCCCAGTTCTCAGCGTTTCCCATCAACGGTGTTCATCTGTATGAGGAACTCAAGAGCTCCATGGCTATCCTGTCTACAGGGAACAAGAGGTGAACGTGTTGGGCATGTAGATGAGTGAAAGATGCACCTGTGGGGTTTGTGTGTGTTACATAGGCTATTGCTGGAAGCGGAGTTGGGTTGAAGTTTTGATCCCAAAATGCCCCAAGTGCCACCTGGATGAGGTTGGACCTGAGACTGGGTTTGTCAGGATTCCACACCTGTAAGGACTGGGCTGAGGCCCTTGACACCTAGAAGCAGCAGGATTGCCTCCTGAATACAGGGCAATTCTGCTTTTCATGTCAGAATTGATAGTCTCATCCTAGCTGAAGCCACCAGTCTATGTCTGTGCTATTACAAACGTGCAAAGGTGCTGCAAATTTCATTCACATGCAATTGTATTTGCACAATGGCAGCATCAGGAGTGGAAAGCTTTTTCCCAGCTTTCAGAATGTGCCAAGCAATTATGCACATGCTAATTTAATAAAATCCTAGAACAGAGGTTGGCAACATTTTTGGACAGAGTGCCAAGAACACCTGCAAACTTGGCTTTCCTGGTGTGCCAGGAGCGGACGGTGGGGAAGCCACAAAGGGCCCGATCCTTATTGTGGCAGGGAAGGGGCTGGGGCTGCACTGCCGTCTGCCCCGAGGTGTGCGTGCCAAGTAAAATGCCTTTGTGTGCCACACTCTGGCACCTGTGCTGGGGGTTGCCTGCCCCTGTCCTAGAACTTCTGGGCTGGAAGGGACCCCAAGAGATCATCTAGTCCAACCCCAGCTCTGCAGCAGGGTCAAATTTACTGCAAGTTTGTTTCAGTGCCTCACTGCCTTTATAGTTAGAAGGTTTTCTTAACAGCCAGCCCACAGTCTCCCTTGTCACAGATGGACCTGGAATTTTCTTGTCCGTCTCCCCGGGAAATGTGAGAAGTCAATTGCCATCCTCTTTATAGCAACCTTTTATGTACTGGGAGGAGGTTGAGTCCCTCCTCAGTCTTCTTTTTTTCCAGATAAAACAAGTCATGTTCCTTCAGCCTTTCCCGATAGGCCACATTTGAACCACCGAGATTGGTTATAAGCCCTTGAAGACAGCTGAGCAATGATCATCTTGAGAGTAATGGCCAGGCATAGAAATTAACTGTCTGATGCTTAATATCGCCCACTTTCCCTTTCTCCTTCCCTATGACCATTCAGAAAAACTCACCATATTCAAATCTCTAGACGTTCAAACATGAATGGTGCATGCCCCCAGCAGTTGGGGGGGCACAGCTTCACCAGCAGTGGCGGGAGCCTGGCGGCGGTGGGTGGGAAGCTCCCGCAGATGCTGCCGGCACTGTTGGCCGGGAGGGGGGGCGCGCGAGCGCCGGCCATGGGTCGGTGACCACCCACACGTGCTACTGGCAGCAGCAGCAGTGGCCAAGGGCGTTCAGGTGCCACAAGTGGGGTGGCAATGGCCTGCAGACGCCATCGACAGTGTCGGTGGTGCCTTTTTGCAGGGGGTGCACCACCACATGCACCTCCTACACATTGCCCCTGCCTTTAAACCAGGCAGGGTCCCCCTTCCCCATTTTTGCCTCTGCTCCTTTATGTGCCACACTGTATGTTTTCTACTCTGACCAGAACTGTGGAGTGGATGGGAAGCATGAGTGTTCTTGGCTGTGAGGCTGTGGATTCTGGAGGGCCTGGCCAGTGAGGAATGTGGTTTCTGACTGTACTTCAGCTGCAGGTGTTCAGGAATTGCTGCTTTGCAGCCCTGGATGATTCTAAGACTGAACTAACCTCCTCCTTGTGTGTGTTTCTCATTTAGCTTGGATACGCTGCTGGACTCTGGCCTGTACACTGGGGAGGTGATGGAGCTTATGGGAGCACCAGGCAGTGGGAAGACACAGGTGAGTCACCCTGGGTCAGATGGTGCAGTGTATAATGGAAGGGATGCCAAAATTCCTCCTTGTATATAAGGTGTCCTCCATTTACATCCTGTACTGTATGGCACAGTCTGCATCCACAGGTGGGTTCAGACCTTGTTTGTAGATGTATCTTCCCTTTGGTTTGATAGCTTAATTTGTGCTCACTGTGGAAATAGTTACAAAATATTAAAGATGCATAAATGGCTACAGCCAGACTTGTCTCATCTGTGTCATGGTTCTTCTCCAGTGACTGGCCCTAAGAAGGAGATTCATTAACCTGATCCATCTTGCGCCATACCCAGAAGCTGGGGCTCTGAAGAATGAGATGGAGCAAATTCTTGAGCAAAAAGCCTCTGGCAGTGAAACCATCTATCTTTGATATTTGCATGAAAACTGATAGATGTATGTAGGCTGAAGGTCCCTACTTATTCCATGTGGAGATCAGGCAGTGCGGTTGCTTCTCAGCTTGGCTCAGGTGTGCCCTGCTGGGTATTGATGTGTTTTAGTGCCAGACAAGCCCTTCCATTCAGAAGGGTGGGGGGATGGACTGATGCTTGTGCTCTTTCCTTCCTAGGTGTGCCTCAGCATAGCAGCAAGTGTGTCCCACAGCCTCAAGCAGAATGTCCTTTTTATTGACTCCACAGGCGGGTTCACAGCCTCTCGCCTTCTCCAGTTGGTTCAGTCCAGGACAGAGGAGGAGGAAGAGCAGGTGAGAGAAGCTGCAGAGTCAGTGGCCTTCAGTTGCAGGAGCAAAGAACTCAGATACTTGTAAATGGCCTTCCTAGCTCTGAGCAGTTGCATGCAATGCCTCTGACAGACCTTTAGGCAATTCCATGCTCCACTCTTTCCTCTGCATGGGTTTGTCCTAGTTTCTTTCAGTGGGTCCACTCTTGGTTCAGTGGGAGTTGTGGGTACTCAGCCCCTTTTAAGTACCAGACCACTTATTCAGGCACTTAGCCATAGTTTGGGGTGAGGGGTGCTAATTCTAGCCTACCATGCTTTCAACCTTTATCTTTTTGTGTCCTGGTTTCCCCATGTCTAAAATGAGGACAACACTGATGCATGGGACAAAGGGCTATTTGGGTCCTTGACATGAAGGTGATAGATAATTGCAAATGCTCTTATTATTAGGGGCAGGGTGAGTTCACAGGGCTAGTAGATATGCTGGCTGGGAGTGCTGGACCCCAGGTTCTAATGTATGCCCACCATCCTGATTGTAAAGGGTAAGTTATAGTGAGGGGAAAGCTGTGGGAGACTATGTATTCCCTGTGTGATACTGCTGCTGTCCCCCTCTGCAGGTGGAGGCCTTGCAGCGAATCCAGGTGGCCCATGTGTTTGACATCTATAAGATGCTGGCTGCGCTGCAGGAGCTCCAGCACTGCATGTCCCAGCAGGTGGGGCCTTGTCATTTGCATCCTCCCTGTTGACTTCTCTAAAGTGACACTGTAAAGAGCTGAGTGTTGGAAGTGACATTGGATTTGATCCTGCCAGTGCATGGAGCTGCTTATATATTGCCTTAGAAAATTAGGCGACTGCGGTGTGCGAATTGACTGGAGGGCTGCACCCAGCGAGTGGTGGTGGACGGGTCATTTTCGACCTGGAGGGACGTGGGCAGTGGGGTTCCCCAGGGCTCGGTCCCTGGTCCCCGCTGTTCAACATCTTCATCGGTGACTTGGACGAGGGGGTGAAAAGCACCTTGTTCAAGTTCACAGATGACACTAAGATGTGGGAAGAGGTGGGCATGCTAGAAGAGAGGGACTGGCTACAACTAGATCTGGACAGGTTACAGAGGTGGGTGGATGAGAATAGGATGGGTTTCAATATGGACCAGTGCAAGGTATTACACCTGGGGAGGAAAAACCCAGCAGCATACCTACAAGCTGGGGAACTCCGTTCTTGTCAGCACAGAGGCAGAAAAGGATCTTGGAGTCACTGTTGATTCCAAGATAAACATGGGCTGCCAATGTGGGGACGCAGTCAGGAAGGCTAACCACACCTTGTCATGCATCCACAGATGCATCACGAGCAGGTCCAAGGAGGTGATCCTCCCCCTCTATACGACATTGGTCAGGCTGTAGTTGGAGTACTGAGTCCAGTTGTGGGCGCTGCACTTCAGGAGGGATGTGGATAGCATAGAGAGGGTCCAGAGGAGGGCCACTCGCATGATCAGGGGGCAGCAGGGCAGGCCCTACAAGGAGAGACTACGGGACCTGAACTGCGGGCCGTGAACCTGTTCAGCCTCCACAAGAGAAGGCTGAAAGGGGATCACCTACAAACTTGCCCAGGGGGACCAGCAGACAATGGGAGAATCCCTGTTCCCCCGAGCATTACCGGGAGTTGCAAGGAATAACAGCCATAAGCTGACTGAGAGGAGGTTCAGGCTAGATATTAGGAGGCATTACTTCACAGTCAGGATGGCTAGGATCTGGAACCAACTTCCTAGGGAAGTGGTGCTCGCCCTTACCCTGGGGATCTTCAAAAGGAGGCTAGACAATCACCTAGCTGGGGTCATTTGACCCCAGCATTCTTTCCTGCCCATGACAGGGGGTCGGACTTGATGATCTGCTTAGGTCCCTTGTGACCCTACCAACTATGAAACTATAAGACTGCAGGATTGGGGTTGCTATTCTGTGGACCTTGGTTTCCAAGTGGCCTCAGGACTCTCCCTGTTCTAATGTTGCAGGGCTGTACTGGCCCATACTTCAAATTGCTGTTTTGAATGGCATGTGCTGCTCTATCCCTTTCCCTCACACATTGTGCTTCACTCCTCAGGTTGTTTGTTCTGTGGGTCCCGTGAAATTGCTGGTGGTGGATTCTGTCTCGGCTGTAGTTTGCCCACTCTTTGGAGGCAGGCAGTCAGAGGGTAAGCATACTTGCCCCGGGGGCAGGCTCCAGCTTGGGAATTTGGGACTGGGCCTCAGGCTGTAGGCACACAACCTGACCTACACAGTGAGGTAGAATCATAGAAAGCTAGGGTTGGAAGGGACCTCAGGAGGTCATCTAGTCGAACCCCATGATCAAAGCAGGACCATCCCCAACTAGATCAGCCCAGCCAAAGCTTAGTCTAGCAGGTTGTTGAAAACTTTTGAGGATGAAGCTTCCACCACCACCCTGGGTAACCTGTTCCAGTGTTTTACTACCTTCCTAGTGAATTTTTTTCCCTAATATCTAACCTAAACTTCCCTTGCTGCAACTTAAGACCATTGCTTCTTGTTCTGTCATCTGCCATCACTGAGAATAGTCCAGCTCCATTCTCTTTTGAACTGCCCTTCAGGTAGTTGAAGGCTGTCCCCTCTCAGTCTCCTGGTCTCTAGACGAAATAAGCCCAGTTCTCTTGGTCTTTCCTGATAAGTCATGTCCCCCAACCCCTGAACTGTTTTTGTCACCCTCCACTGGACTCTCTCCAATTTGTCAACATCCTTTCTGTAGTGGGGGGCCCAAAACTGAACAGAGTATTCCAGATGTGGCCTCACCAGTGCTGAATAGAGGGGAATCGTCATTTCCCTTGACCTACTGGCAACACTTCTACTGATGCAACCCAGTATGCTCTCAGCCTTCTTGGCAACAAGGGCACACTGCTGGCTCATTCAGCTTATTGCCCACTGTAACCCCCGGGTCCTTTTCTGCAGAGCTGCACTTGTCCTTATTGAACCTGATGGGATTCCTTTTGGCCCAGTCCTCCAATTTGTCTAGGTCACTAAATCCTAGCCCTACCCTCCAGTGTATCTGCTGCTCCCCTGAGCTTGGTGCCATCTGCAGACTTGCTGAGGGTGCACTCTCTGCCATCTTCCAGGTCATTGATGAAGACATTGAACAAAACCGGCCCCAGGATGGACCCCTGGGGCACTCCACTTGATACCAGCTGTCAACTAAACATTGAGCCATTGATTGCTACTCTCTGAGCCTGATGCTCCAGCCAATTTTCTATCCACCTTACAGTCCATTCATGCAGCCCATACTTCCTTAGTTTGCCTGCGAGAATGTTGTGGGAGACCATATTAAAAGCCTTGCCAAAATCAAGGTAAACCACATCCGCTGGTCTTGTCGCATCCACAGAGCCAGTCACCTCATCAGAGAAGGCAGTCAGGCTGGTCAGGCATACCTTGCCCCTGTTGAATCCATGCTGGCTGTTCCTAATCACCTTTTTCTCCTCCAAGCGCTTAGAAATGGATTCCTTGAGGATCTGCTCTATAATTCTTCCAGGGACTGACGTGAGGCTGACTGATCTGTGGTTCCCTAGATCCTCCTTTTTCCCTTTCTTAAAGATGGGTACTATGTTTGTCCTTTTGCAATCATTTGAGACCTCTCCTGATCATCATGAGTTTTCAAGGATGATGGCCAATGGCTCTGCAATCACATCAGCCAACTCCCTCAGCACCCTCAGGTGTATCCCATCTGGCCCCATGGACTTGTACATGTCCAGCTTTTCTAAGTAGTCTCTACCCTGTTTTTTCACTGGGGAGGAGGTGAGCAGCCCTCAGTAAACTGTGCTGCCCAGTGCAGTAGTTTGGGAGCTGACCTTGTCTGTGAAGACTGAGGCAAAAAAAGGCATTGGGTACTTCAGTCTTTTCTGCATCCTCTGTCACAAGGTTGCCTCTCCCATTCAGTAAGGGACCCACACTTTCCCTAATCCTCCTCTTCCTACTGACATACCTGTAGAAATCCTTGTTACTGTCCTGGATGTTATTCTGTAGTAAGGAGCAGATGTGGCCAGCCTTCCAAGTCAGCTGCCTGCAATAGTTGGTATTACATTGTCTGGCCACTAGGTGGTGTACGAGCTGCTTTTATGAGAGAGGGGCTTTTTCTGGTCTGAAGTTTACTGGAGTAGTGCTGTGCTGGTCATTTTATAGTAGTGTATAGCTACTCCTTCCTGTTACAGGAGTAATTTGGCCTGGAATGGAGTGACTTATGTAATGTCCAGCACGTTGGAGCAGGCTTGATTAATCGAGCCTGTTGGAGCTTGGTAATTACTGCGCTCCAGCAACTTCCTGCACCTTGTGTATCAGTGTCCCCGTGCTTAAAAATGGTGGCAGGGGTGCTTGAACTAAAGCTCTCGGAGCTGCTCTAATTAATGCGCCACCCTTTCCAACCCTGAAGAATTTGTAAAAGTGCCCAATAGGCTCAAATAATGAGGATTCATTCATCCCAATTTCTGGCCTTTGGAGATAGCAATCCTGCCTCTTGCAAAACATTCAGAACGTTTGGCACTGAATGTCCTGTGCAATCAGGTAGCTGGGAAATCTGCTTCCAGCACTCCTGGGCCCACTGATTACCTGCAAAAATTCAGATGGCATTGGCAGTACAGAACTATACCTTGTGCTCTCTGATACCTGGGCCTGGGGGCTGGGAGAGGGAGGATTTTTTATTTTTTTAACTTTAGTGCCAGTGTTGTGTTGGATGAGGTGCAACAGGTAAAATGTTTGTATTTGATAGCTCAGGATGTATGGCTTCCCTGGTACTGAGAAGTAGGCCTTCCCTATCTAGTATTGCTCTGCATGTGCTAAGCCTGGAAATGTGGCTGCAAAGCAGGCCTGAGGCCCCACACCCCACTACCAAGGTTCTTGAGCTGGCTGTCCTCAATATGCCTGAGAGCAATAGTTCCTTAGAGTAGATACCCTCATTTCCTGGTTTGGCACATTTGAGGTAGTAGGGGATGGGCAGGCCATGTTTTTCAACAACTCTCTCAAAAGTGCCAGACTGACATCCCTTCATATATCTTCTTAGTTGCCTGTCTCCCAAATAGTCCTGTCGGTCTAACTTGTTACTCCTCAGGATTCTGTGGGGCTGCCGCAGGCCCTTGCAGATCTTTGTCAGAAATTCTAAGAATTTGGTGTTGGGGAAGTGCAGTGGCTTGGCAATGGAACTGCAATAGCTAAGTCACTGCAAAGGCCAGATTGACTGCAGCTGATGCATAGACTCAAGGACGGGGAGTTAAAACTGCTCGTTGCCAGTCCTCTGAGCAGTCTGCTGCCCTGAGAGTGAGTATTGGTGGGGGAGTCCTCAGTGTGGCTTCACTTAGTCATTTCCTGGTTTGGGTTGTGTGTGTGTGTGTAGCAGGAACTCAGCAGTGGCAAAGATCACCTGGTGGCCTTTGTGAAAGAAGGGACCAATCTTTAGAGGATGAGCCACAGGTCATGGAGGCAGACTTCTTGGGAGAGGCAGTATCGCCTAATGATTAGAGTACTGGATGGGGCTCTTCTTCTGGTTCTGGCCTGCTGGGTAAACTTTAGGAAGTACCAACACCACTCTGTGCCTCAGTAACCCCATCAGTAAAATGGAGACAGTGATACCAACCTGCTTTTCGAAAGTGCTTTGGGACTGAGGAACAGTGTTCAGTAAGAGCTAGGTGTGTCCTAGAACTGATTATCTGGGCCTGATGCAGTACATGTTGATGGTGTGCCTGGGTGCAGAGGCTGCTGCTGTGTATGCTGGTTTTGTTCTTTGGATAGTTGGAAAGTAAGAGGGGCTAGCTGTGAAATGGGCACTGATGAACAGTATTAAGCTAATGTAATACACAGAGGTCAGCCTGCTTGGGTGGATGTGAAGGTATCCTGATGAGCTGCTCTAGATTCCTCATCTCAGGAGATGGCATTGGTCTCTAAGAGACTTCTAGTGGAAGCATGTGCCAAAATGTCCTTTTCTTGTCTCTGTAGGTTTGGCCCTCATGATGCAGCTGGCGAGGGAACTGAAGACACTTGCCAGAGAATTTGGCCTTGCTACTGTGGTGAGTGCCCCTGGGCTTTGTCTTTCTCTTCCTGGGGTGAGCGGTGAGGAAGAATAGCAAGTATTGGAGGATTTGGGGTATTTGCTTTCCAGATAAGTGGATGTGCTTAAAGCTGAACAGGTCTGCAAAATGGGAGCCTAGCATCTCTAAAAGCACCACCCCATGAGACTGTCTTCTGAACTAAAACTTGGCTTCCATGAAGCCTCCAAATACCTTCTCTCTGTAACTACAGGGTGAGGAGAAGGAGAGGAATAAGAATCCATAGAAACAGCTGATTTATCCATTAGCTTCATGAGTATCCCAGTGTTTCCTTACAAGGAGCAGTGATGTTACTGCTGGTAGCTGCCTAATATGTCTACTTTATTGTACTGCAGGTGACTAACCATGTGACAAGGGATAGTAGCAGCGGTCACCTCAAACCAGCCCTGGGCCGCTCCTGGAGTTTTGTGCCCAGCACGCGCGTGCTGTTAGAGAGAAGCCAAGGGGCTTTGGGGAAAGCCAGCACACAACGTATTGCTTCCTTAACAAAATCGCCCCGGCAGGTGAGAATTTCCAGGTGAACCAGGGATGAGGTCATGGAGAAGAGGGTTTGGAGCAGAGTTGGTAGTAGAGGCAGAGTCCTTGCTCTGGGGGTTGCAGGAGCTTGGGCTTCGCCCATGTGTCTCTGCACTGGGCTGGGGTGCTAGTGGCAATACAAGAAAGCTGTAATCTGTTGAAAAGAAAAAAATGATGTGGATTGTAAATAGCCTGACTTCTATTTCTGGGTGTGTGAAGTCAGTGGATCCATTTTTTACTTGGATCACAGTGACTCAGTTGCTCCATTCTTCCTGACTTAGTCTCTGATGATCTTGTATCTCTTTTTGTAAGGAGAGGAACTGATGTCCTGGTTACTTGGTAATGTGGGTAAATACATCCACCTTGGCTCAGATTCTTGCTGCCATTTCATACTGGATGCTCTGGGACAGATCTTCCAGGAGTCTAAACCAGCCTAACTAGTGGTTCATAGAATCATAGAAAATTGGCATTGGAAGGGACCTCAGGAGGTCATCTAGTCCAACCCCCTGCCCAAAGCAGGACCATCCCCAGCTAGATCATCCCAGCCAAAGCTTTGTTTAGCCAGGTCCAAGGATGGAGCTTCCACCACCTCTGGGTAACCTGTTCCAGTGTTTTACTACTCTCCTAGTAAGAAAATTCTTCCTAATATCTGACCTAAACTTCCCTTGCTGCAACTTGAGACCGTTGCTCTGTTCTGTCACCTACCACCACTGAGAACAGTCCAGCTCCATCCTCTTTCAAACCCCCTTCAGGTAGTTGAAGGCTGCTATTAAATGCCCCCTCAGTTTTCTCTTCTCCAAACTATATAAGCCCAGTTCCCTCAGTCTTTTCTCATTAGTTATATCCCTCAGCACCCTCACCATTTTTATTGGCCTCCAATATCTCTTCATCCTTTCTGTTTGGGGGGCCCAAAACTGAATTCCAGATGTGGCCTCACCAGTGCTGAATAGAGGGGAATAATCACTTTCTTGCCCTACTGACAACACTTCTACTGATGCAGCCCAGTATGCTGTCAGCCTTCTTGGCAACAAGGGCACACTGCTGGCTCATTCAGCTGATTGCCCACTGTAACCCCCAGGTCCTTTTCTGCAGAGCTGCTGCACAGCCAGTCAGCCTCCAGCCTGTACTCATGTATGGGATTGTTCCATCCTAAGTACAGGACTTAAGACCATTGCTCCTTGTTCTGTCATATGCCATCATTTGGCCCAATCCTCCAATCTGTCTAGGTCACTCTAAATCCTAGCCCTACCCCCCAGCGTATCTACTACTCGCCACAGCTTGGTGCCATCTGCAGACTTGCTGGGGGTGCAATCTCTGCCATCTTCCAGGTCATTGATGAAGACATTGAACAAAACCAGCCCCAGGACTGACCCTAGGGCTCTCCACCTGATACCGGCTGCCAACTAGACATTGAACCATTGATTACTACTCTCTGAGCCCGATGCTCCATCCAGTTTTCTATCCACCTTACAATCCATTTATCCAGGCCATATTTCCTTAGCTTGTCCATGAGACTGTCGTGGGAAACGGTATCAAAAGCCTTGCTAATATCAAAGTACACCACTTCCACTGGTCTCCCCACATCCACAGAGCCAGTCACCTCATCACAGAAGGCAATCAGGTTGGTCAGGCATGCCTTGCCCTTGGTGAATTCATGCTGACTGTTCCTGCTCACCTTTATCTCCTCCAAGTGCTTAGAAATGGATTCCTTGAGGATCTGCTCCATGATTTTTCCAGGGACTGAGGTGAGGCTGACTGGTCTGTGGTTCCCTAGATCCTCCTTTTTCCCTTTCTTAAATATGGGTACTATGTTTGCCCTTTTCCAAACATCTGGGAGCTCTCCTGATCACCATGTGTTTTCAAGGTTGATGACCAATGGCTCTGCAGTCATATCAGCCAACTCCCTCAGCACTTTCAGGTATGTCCCATCCGGCCCCATAGACTTGTACATGTCCAGCTGTTCTAAATGGTCCCTAACCTGTTCTTTCACTGTTGGCTGCTCACCTCCTCCCCAAACTGTGCTGCCCAGTGCAGTAGTTTGGGAGCTGAACTTGCTTGTGAATATTGAGGTGAAGAAAGCATTGAGCACTTGAGCCTTTTCTGCGTCCTCTGTCACAAGGTTGCCTCCCCCATTCAGAAAGGGACCCACACTTTCCCTGATCCCTCTTTTGCTACCAACATACTTCTAGAAACCCTTCTTGTTACCCTTCCCATCCCTTGCTAGCTGCAACGCCAGTTGCGCTTTGGCCTTCCTGACTTCATCCCTGTATGAATGCATTTATACTCCTTCCTATTTTTTCGTCCAAGTTTCCACTTATAAGCTTCCTTTTTGTGACTTAGTTTGCTGAAGAGTTCCCTGCTAAGCCAAGCTGCTCTTCTGCCTTACTTGCTAGTCTTTCTGTACATTAGGATTGTTTGTTCCTGCACTCTCAGTAAGGGCTTCTTTAAAGTACAGTCAGGTCTCCTGGACTCCTTTTTCCTTCGGACTGGCTTCCTAAGGGATCCTGCCTATGAGTTCCCTGAGTGAGTCAAAGTCTGCTTTTCTGAAGTCTAGGGTCCTTACTCTGCTGCTCTCCATGCTTCCTTCCCCCGCACTGACTATGCCAGCAGCATCTGCGGGAGCTCCCATCTTACCGCCACCAGGCTCCCGCTGCTGCCACCAGTGCAGCCGTGCCCCCCAGGGGCAAGCATTGTTCATGCCTGAACTCAATCATTTTGTGGTCACTGCTGCCAAAGATATCATCTACTATTACATTCCCCACCAATTCTTCCCTGTTTGTGAGCAGCAGGTCATGAAGAGCATGGCCCCTAGTTGGCTGCTCCAGCACTTGCACCAGGAAGTTGTCACCCTCACTATCTGAAAACTTCCTGGATTGCCTATGCACTGCTGTATTATTGCCTTCCCAGCAGATGTCAGGGTGATTGAAATCCCCCATAAGAACCATGGCTTGTGATTGGGAAACTTCCCCAAGCTGTTTGAAGAAAGGCTCATTCACCTCCCTCATTCGCTTCCAAGGGAGGTGGTGCTGTCCCCTACCTTGGGGTTCTTCAAGAGGAGACTAGACAAGCATCTAGCTGGGGTTGTCTGACCCCAGTGCTCTTTCCTGCCCAGGGCAGGGGGTGGGACTCGATGGCCTACTGAAGTCCCTTCTGACCCTAACAGCTATGAATCTAAACCATTTCTTCCTGGTCTGGTGGTCTGTAGTAGACACCTACTACAACATCACACTTGTTGCTCTCCCCTCTAACTTTAACCCAGAGATTTTCAACAGGCTTATCTTCAGGTTCTCTCATTCTTTAACGTTTCACTTCCTGGTTTGAACTCTTTTAGGATGTGGCTGTGTGTTTGTAGCTGGTAAAATTATTCCTGTGTACATTCATTTCTAATCCAGTTTGGGATCCCCTGACCTGAAAGAACTATAAAATGTTTGGGGCATTAATGCTTTACTTGACTTCAGGCATATTAATTATTTGCACTGCAGTATCTCCAGAAGCCACAATCAAGGTTGGTGCCCCATTACGCTGGGCACATAATAACAACTTGTAGCCCGTGTTGTGAACTGCTGTCAGTGACTGCTCTGTGACTGCAGCACCTCACACAATTGGAAAAAAGCAAAAAGCATTGAAGTTGAGGCTGCTTGTCAGTTTTTGACTTGCAGAATAGCAGCCTTGAAACTAAGTGAGAGCTGTCAATTTCAAGGCCACTGTTTAGCAGCTGAGAAACTGGTTAGCAGATGATTGATTGATTGAGTCTGCCAGTGTTCTGGGTGGCCAGGTAACTCCTTGGTAACCAGGCCTAAGGAGATGCAAACAGCTGAGCATATTCTGTGTCTGCCTGAATCAGCCTGTGGCAGAATGCCACCTCTGTCTCTCCCCAAAAACTCTGCTATGAGACAATTTGGTTAATATGGTCACTGCATAGGGCAGACATCCCATGGGCTCTTTAGGTAACCCTGAGTTGTAAACTGAGCTGGATACATTCTTGAGGGAGGGGGGAAAACCTGCTCCCTCCGCCAGAGAGGAGGGGAGACTCATGATCAGTGAGCTGCCTGCTTCCAGAGGGAATCTCCACCTGCCTCTGGATGATACTCATGAGTAAGCTACCTGAGATCTAATAGCTATAGATATATAGCTTGCAGTAACTCAGATGTGCGATCAATGGCAATCTTGTTTGCTCTATGGGATTTCTTTAACATTGCTCTACCCTGTACCCTATTCCAAACCTACTCCTTGTAACCAATAAAGTTCTCCTGTGTACCTAGTGTGGGAGACTTATTGGGAGTGGGTCTAGCTTATGCCTTGGGGTCCCCTTGGTTTGGCTGACTAAAGGAGACCACTACTGGTGCTTCAGACTGAGGGGAGCACCCCAAGTTCTTGCAGTGGGTTGAGTACCCTCAAGGACTACTAGGCCTGTGTTTCCCAGGGGGCACAGGGCCAGGATCAGTCCAGACCCTGGGTAGTGGCGGCATTACGCCGGGGTAGTGGGTGTGCCTCTGGGAGGGGGGTCGGCCAGACATGAGGTGCCACCAGGGAGGCACTCGGAGCCTGGAAGATGGTTAGGCGTAGTGAGGCGGGTGGCTCAGTGCAGTGCCCTACTGGCCCGCCACACAGCCAACATACTAAGTGCAGTTTAGGTGGTGCCTTTAACACTGACCTCAGTGGGAACTGGTAGATGGCTTGCAGTGTCTGCATGTCTGTTAGCGATGGGCATTTTTAAGTGGCTTTGACTCTACAGATGTTCTTAGCGGCAGATTCTCAGCTATGCAAGTTTAAATTCCTCTTGGCTTCTCTTGCAGCCTACTGGAATAAAGGTAGAACTGGACATTGGAGGCCATGGAGCATTGGAAGAGAGACCAGGTGCATCTGGAGAGGAACTCTGATGGAGGTGAAAAGATGAAAAGTAGATTTCAAGGCCAAGATCTTGTCTTTTATTGTGGACACCTTTGCTGCTAAAATAGAAAAGACTGCAGAACTAGACAGTGTGAGCCAAGGCACTGTTAGGATGAGGAGAGAGTTCTGTAGTTCCAGTAAAGCGGTATTGTATTCCATCACTGCCCCACCTCAGGTGCTCCTTTCTCCAGTGTGACCTTGGGATCGCAAAGAGATTTCAAGGGAAAGCCTTTGTGGCCTGGGCAAGTGCAGCATGTGTGGCTGCAGTGCTTCTCTGGAACTCATTAGAACCACAGACCTGTTGCCTGGAGTCTTATGGATCAGCAGGAGAACCTCTGTCATTGTGGGATCAGCAGAATTCGCTGACAGCTCTATAAACCCTTGCCGGTCAATGACTTCTATTTTTTTCCTCCATAACCACCTGCTGCCAGATCCCAGAATCCTTTGGAGGGGAACCTCTGGGAAGCTTCAAGGAGGAATACAAAAGAACTGGGCCTTCGAGAGCAAGAATCCTGTCGGCTCCAACAGATGGTGGTGTAAACACTGTTATCACTGTAGAAAACAGTTGTTACAGCAAGCTTCAGGTGTCTGCCTCATCCTGCTTATTCCTCAGTGGAACTGTAGTGGACATGGGCTTCTAAAGGAAAGGGACATGCGTGGCACTCAAGTGTTGCAAATGTTTGTGATCGAACTCTTTCTACAGAGTATAAAGGAGTGCATTGTAAGCAGCACTGGCATTCTTGTACCTGAGTAATGTATCAGATGGCTGCTGCCTTGTGGAAGTGGGCCTTTTGGGCCAAATACTCCACTGAGGTAAATGAGTGTGGCCCTTGGCTTACACCACTTGAGGATCTGGCCGTGTTTTAGGAGCATTGTTGTTGATGTAGTTGGTGTGTTTCTTTTCATCTACTTTTTTTGCTTGAAAACAGGGCACTCGTGTGTTATTGAGGTGGTTCTACCCCAGTTGTACCCAATGTTTACAATTCAAAGTGAGGAAAGAAATGGCAGGAGCAGAAGAACTTGAAATCTTCAGGAACTGTACTAGGGATCTTCCCACCAGATAAGTTACAGCAGTGTTTGCACCAGTGACAGCTCTCATGTAGACAAGGCTCTGGTGTCCAAACTCACAGTTGCTTTTTGTCTGACATAGCTCTGATGGAAGCTGTAGAAATAAAGGCAGTAAACACTACTGCAGTTGAATAGATGTTTGACCCATGAGCCTTTTTAATACATTTTTCCAGCTAAGACATTTCTGAGTATATCTAATTTTTATTTGTAAGCCAGCTTCCCCACTAACAAGAAAATATCTGAGACTGTAGCCAAACTGAATATTTGACAGAGCTTTCACGGAGTAATAGCAGGTCTTCCTACCCCTAGCAGATTGTTTCATACACCTGTGTGTCACTACAACTACAGTGCTTGAGAGAAACCCAGATTTCTATCCTCTCAGGGATATAATTTAATGGGAAGGTGGTGAACGTCCCCTAATCACAGAGCCAATTAAAACAGAGGCAATGCCTGTGCCAGAGTGTTTACAATCTCACTTTTTCCTTTGCAAATTGTTCATTGTTTTATGTGTGGAGACGTTATGAGTCAAATTCTCTCCCAGGGAAGTCAGTGGAGCCGGGGCAATTTATGCCAACAGAAAATTTGGCCTGTTATGCTTTTTGTACCAGCTGTGAATAAAACATTGATTTTTTTTTTTTTAATATACTTTTCAGGTAACCCCTTCCTCTTGTGGTTGCATTATTCATCAGTTTGGGATTCCTAGAGGAAAGCTGAGCAGGGGGATATGGAGCAGAGAAAGAATAGAATGTCAAAATGTCTAGTAACACACATTTGCATTAAGGTTTTGACAATGAGAGTGTGATATTACATTCTCCAAGACTATGTCAATCATTAGGGAAGAGATGCAATATCTGATTTGGGTGAGCTAACTGGGGGACTAATTTGGCTTTGGGCAATTGTTATGCCAGATTCAGAAGGAAATCTTGAGCTTGGGAGCTGAAGTAACTTGATAGTATGGAAGGAGGAGACCTCCAGTTAGATGGAGCAAGGAGAATGTAAGAGGATTTCTCAAATGGAAAGTCACAAAGAAAGGGGAGACCATCAGGAGTGTGTTGCGGGGGTAGAGAATGGTGGTTAGGTGAGAGAGAATGAGAGGACTTGCGTGAACAAGAGCAAGACAATGGTAGAGTGACTTAATTTGAGTGAATGGATGAAAGTTGGCAGGTTAATGGGAGACTGGAAGGGCTGAGTGAGCAACTGAGGGGAATGAAGCATTGCAAAGTTAAAGAAGCTGTACTAACTGTCCATGGAATACTATGAAAAGGGGACGATTTAAAGTGTGCATACACATACATGATTTGAATGATTTCATTGCCTGTATTCATGGAAATCACATTTTTGCTATGTACCAAGAAAATAAACATGTTCAAATAATAGTCACAAAACTGTACCAATCATATGCTCTCAGTCTGTTCTTTCTCTGGATGAGAGGGATAATCCTAATGCACTACTGCAAGAGTTCAGTGTCACTGTGTCCTCATGCCCTGGATACTGATTGCCATAATCCCAAACAGTGAGTTGAAAATGAGAAAGGGGTAGCATGTAGTCAGATATCCAAACAGGAGGAAAGGAAGAGAGAAATATGACTGTTATTACTTAGGGATTATGAAATCATCGTGGGGCTCTGATGCAAAAGATCTGGAATAAATTGCGAAATAGAGAAGGCTTAAATAAAGGCTAAAGGACAGATGCTGATCAAGTGAACCCTGGCTGTACTTGTGCAGGGCTATCAATCTTAAGTGTTGAGTGTAAGCTGCTCAGTGGCTGTAGAGGGAAGAAATTTCTCTCCTTGGAAATTAGGTCAGTGCACCTCTCCTGGTAGCATTTTGTATTTTGCTCTGAAGCAACTGGTATGGGCTGCCGGTGCATTTGAGGAACATCTCTGGCATGTTGCTTCCTGCCCTGTGCTTGCTCTTCAGGTAAGTAGGGGGGAGAGGTCTCATGACAGAGACGGTCCTGAGCCTCCTGTATTTCAAACACTTTGAAGAGGAAATGCAGGGTTGAAGTGGTGCATTTGTTTTCAGACACAGGACCGTGAATTCCTCGGTGGCACCGTGGAAAAGTCTGACTTCCTGCTAAAGACAATGTCCCCAATGCTGCCTAGCAGAGCATGGCGCAAGATGGCTGGTGACCTCAGTGTCATCAAAAGGAAGTCATTTTTCATCTGGGTGCTCAGACAGGGTCCTGCTCTCCCTGGGTGATGCCTCTTCCTCTCTGTAAACTGCTCCTGCACCCTGCTCGTGGACTCGGGCGGTGGTCACTTGGATGATTTCCAATCTTGACTGCAGCAGTTGGAGAAAGGCACGCAGGCTCCTCTTGAGGTGACGAACTGCGGAAAACGACCCCAGCTGCAGGAACCGCCAGCCGTGGGCAGTGCCACTGCAGGCAGGGGGCCGCAGCCAGCGCGGGGGCTCCCAGCCGGAGGCCGGAGAGCCAGGCCAAGGGCTTGGGGACCACCCCGGCAATGACGGGGGCTGCGCTGCCTCCTCCGCCCTCCGGGGGCGCTGCAGGGGCGGGGC